GTGTGCTACTTGTCATGATAGGGAAATAACAGTCAGCATTTGACTCAATGATAAATTGTATTTGCTGACAAGATCATTGTATCGACAATAGAACTTACGAAATGATTACTTTAAACAAGACTGTTGAAATTCTTGTTTCACCTACTTGTTTGTCAATAATTTATCTCGTTTTAGAATTGTTCATAAGTAGAGCATGCGTATCGAATCAACGTTGTGAAACGTAATAGAAACGTATAGAACACCTATGAAATAGAATATCCTGACACCCCTTGGAAATAGATTGTTACAAGGACATAAAAGTCAGTGCAGGTGACAACTGTGGAGAATTGCTGTGACATCAGAATTTAAGTCGGAGATGACAGACAAACGTAAGGCTAGCTAGGTAGAAATAGATTAAGTGCACCAGTGGTAGCGTATAAGGGGAATTAATTTGAGAGTCAGGAGGCAGTAGGTCTTATTAGATCGAGGCGCCTGATTCGTTATATTAAAAGGAACCTTTTTACCCCGCGGTGACAGGTTACCCAGTCACATTTTGATATATGGTCCTTGGAAAAGCGTCTGATACTTTAATTATTTTCAAATTATATACAAAATCATTATATTCAGGAAGAATAAAGGAAAATTATTTTATCTCCTAGTCATTTTTACTCAGATAGAGTACAAGGAAAATCATATATCCCTTATAAAGAACCCTATTATTTAGATAAACACGTTGCAGTAGAGATATAAACTCCGTATTTAGGTGATGAAGGTATATTGCTTATAAGTAAGGAAAGTTGAAGATAGAAAACTTAAAGTCATCACATTTATCATAGGGCTTGGTTGTTAGATTACCATTAATGTTTTTTCCAGTAAATTATCCAAATACGAAACAGATTTTGCAGACTCTGTAGTATCTTATTAAGCTTACCATGATGTATCGTATCGACAATGCGTCGTCGATATTTAAATGCCTAATTGAAAGCTATTTATAAATGAGATTCATTCACTTGGTTAGAATTCTATAAATGTTGTGATTATAAAATGTTTTTATGTTTCATTCTTTTTTTTATAAATACAAAACTAAAGCGACTGAACTTAATTTTTTGTTGAATTAAAATAAATATCTATCAATGTTAATCTGTCATTTTTGAATAATAGGTTACCCTCAGTATCGATTTTTGGTGGTCCTACGAGTTTGACTGCTTTTTTAACTTTCTTTTTTAATTTTTTAAAATTCTTCTGAAAACTAAACAGTATTTAAAACTATATTAAAATATTAAAATCAGATCTTTGATATAGGTTCTTCATCGATATATGTAATGTAGGAATAATTGTACGTACACACTCCTTCATATTTATCTTCACGGCCAAGTTACTTTGCATATGATTTTTGCGATGATAAGAAATTATATGTTTTTCTGTGATCAGTAGTTTCTTGACAGAACTTTTCACTGTAAAAACAGTTCTACACTGATAACGATTAACTGTATGCTGCATTTATTTAGAAATTGAATGGCCCCCGTATTTTACCCACATCGTAATGTTAATCAATGATTTGCAGAAGAAAAAGTTCAATTCTATCTTCTTACAGAAATTTGTCATACTGAATTAAATGAAATTTGTTAGATTTAATCTTGAGATTAAGGGAAGATAAACAAACTGGAAAACCAGTAGTGAATATAAGAATGTCAAATCGTAAATCCTTTTATATGTCAATCCCATTGTTTACGTCCTTTTTGCATTTTTCAAAAGTGGATTTATCATACAGGTGAACTTGTCACACTTCTCAACACTGACGTAGATTATGACATCATTGCACAATTAAAAGAAATACACAAAAACAAAATTGTACGTATAAATATATATAGTTTTATTTTTTTGCAATTACTTTTATCGAACAAAATGTGCGGGAATAATTTAATGGTGGTTCTCGTTTTAACTTCTTTGATCTTTACATTGACAATAAACATAAGCGAGGGAAGGTATATAGGTATGTATAGATGTGTACCTCTAGTTCAAAATGTCTTCTGTAAAGTGAAAAAATCTTTATCTATATGATACTTTATCTTATCGAGATTAATGAAGGATATGGAGATAATGAACAGTATTCAATATCAAAGTAAATTTTGAAATGTCGTAAATGGGCCAGCATTTTATTGATTTTAGTCGATATTGTTAAAATTAATCTTTACTTTTTTATTTTATTGGAATCTCATTAACACTGACCTTTTTTAAAAAAAAAATAAACAAATGAATTTAAAGAGTGTTTATCATAATTGAAAAAAATTGTTTTAATATTTTTCTGTAAAAAATTGCTAAAAAGGGATGAATTATTATCGAAAATAACTTTTAAAAAAAATAGAATTGCATACTTTTCATATATTTTAGAAAAAATACCTTTCTATGTTCCATACAAATATTTACATATATGCATACGACAGCTTTATCATTCTGCTTCAAACTTGTTTCTGATGCGTATTATTTTTTTTAGGTTTTACACCAATTTGAAAGCCATTCATAAGATCCGCCCCTTGTTACTGCTGTTGTCTTCCGTGTCCGTGTGATGGGGATTCCCCACTCTCAGACATCTTCCAGAGATCGGCTATCTGAGAATATGATGCAATATTGACCACTGTACAAATCAACAGATGGAAACAAAGAGTATTATTAACTACAGGGACAAACAGTGATTATGAATCCATGTTTCGTATGAAACCTAGCCTATATTCTTTATTCTTAAGGACGTTCGATCCTGAGTTTTTGAGTGGATTTTGGTCATGTCCTTTATTTATAAAATTCTGCATCATTTTTAAATTCTAACATTAAATCTGAATTATTTTACAATGCAAATTGAACTATATTCAATGAAAAAACCGCGATGAAAATTTTCAAGTTGAAAAAACATTTTATATTTTGTAGGAAGGTTTTTATGGCAGTTGCCAAAATCATCAGTTTTTGTTTTGAACTATAACAGTACTCTTTATTTTGGATTTATATTTTCCATTCTGGTTGCACACAAAGAATTTTTTTGCAGTAAAATGTGTCATGCTGGTTCTGAAATATCTATTAAATTATTTCTTATGATCTTTTATAAACTGTGTGTGCGTTTTACAAATATAGCAAATATATTCTGAAAACCTGATGGAAAAATTCATCCAAATTTAACGTAAAATTTAAAATTTTTTAGTTATATCTGAAAATTAACATCATATACCCCCACTTTTGATGTTCTTTTCTAAATATTCAAGATAACTTTGACTTATTTGCTTTTCAGAAAAAGTTTAAGACTTTAAAATAATTTTCTTGCTTATTAAATTTTCAATGCCATAAAAATCACATTTTATTAGTGCAGAAAGGTCAAATAATTGATTATGCGAATTAATTTGAAACTTTTTCTTAGTTACAATTTTAAAGTGTCTTTTTTTAAATAGACTTGCAGTAAAAAATTTTGTTTCTTGCTTTAATTGGATAAAATTATTGCAGAGGAAAACGGAGAAAAGGTGTAATTTTTAATTAAGACACAAATTTCAGTGCAAGAAGGTCATATTAAATGTATTGTAGCGCCAAAAGAAGCATATTGACCCCCATTTTTTTATTTGAATTTTAATTAAGCTATGTAAGTAGAAACTTAAAATATACTTGGCAAAAAAAGTTTAAGACTTTAAATATCAGGATCGAACGTCGTTAAGCTAGCTTCTAACTCTACAGTTATCTGCGCTTGATATCTTTAGTTATACGTGAAGAAAATGTGTGACATTCATCATGTATATGGTGTTTTTTATATTGATTTCATTGTTATTTTCGTTTGTCATATGTATATTGTTCGAGTCAAATAATGTACGCATTTGAATTACCAGACAAATAAATGTATAATGTTATGTATAGTTATTTTCTTTTATGAAGTCAAAATAACATGAATAATGTTTAGTATGTCAATAACATAGAATCGTTTCAATCATGTTTAATGTTATGTAGTTATTTTCTTTAATGAAGTCAAAATAAAGTTTAGTATGTTAATGAAATAGAATCGTTTTAATCATGTTTAATATGAAGTTATTTTCTTTTATGAAGTCAAAATAAAGTTTAATATGATAATGAAATGGAATCGTTTTAATTCTTAAAGGTATACATTATATAATTTCTATACACTGCTAAATAAAACACAGATATTTTTAAGCAAATTCAATAATTTGTCTTCATAATAAACATTTCTGGGGGAAGCAAAAGAGGCATACGTAATGTTGATAGTGTTTGGAATATTTCAGGTCAACAGTGTTGCAATATGAATGTAATGGGACTCTTCTAAATTATCTTTTTTAAAAAATCGAGTAAAATTCAAATTTTGATTATTTTAAGACAAAAAAAAAAAGGCTCGGATATGTGATAAGGAACATTTCAAATCCAAGATTTTTTTAAAGTCATGTTTACGGTGAAAAATAGTACTCAAGGAAATCATTTGATCCTGAAACTTAAATATATAAAGACATTGACGTTATTGATGTAAGTACATCCATGCTACAATAATCCGTAGATAGGGTTTATTCTCCTAGAATTGCTTTACCTAGAAACAATTTCTAAAACCATGCAGATTATTCTGAAACATATTGATGATACTTGGATATCAACTACGTCGTTGAAAGTCATCATTTCGCAAGTTATATGGTACTGTATATGAAATGTGTTTTTCAGCAAATACAATCATCTTAAAGTTTAATGCTGAATGATGTTTTCCTTTCCAGTTGTTAAGACATTAATTGTTTACTGAGTTGATAACGGATTTGTCATATATCCAATTTTATAACAAAGAACACACCACAGATGTGCAAGGTCGACATAAAGGGATGCTTACTCCTCCATGGCTCCAGATTTTATCTCTGATGTACGTGTTTGCTCTTCTCTCAGTTGGATTTGTTTCTGTAAATCTTAATTTTATAAACAGATATGATAACACATAAAATAATTACAGATGATTGAAATTAAAATAAGATAAATCAAAAGAATAGTTGTAAAAATGCATTTAAATAATATTTATTTCATTCTTCACATCTCACATCAATTAAAAAGAACTAAAAACAACATTCATCAGGGGGTGACATCAAAGGTTAGGAACAAACGACGATGGTTAATCAAAACTGTGTGTTTTTCTGCATAAGTAATAAAGGTAACATATTTTCCATCATTCCCTCACCAGCCTCCGTCATCGTTAGAAGGGGCAATAACTGCATCAACTGCTGCATCTCTATATTAGAAATAAAATTTGTATAACCTTTAAAACATTATTTTACGTAGAAAACTTTTTTGGATTACAATTCCTTAACATAACACACATAACTATTTATAAAAAAAAAAACTTTTGTAATGCATATGCCAATGAAGATTTACAATAAAATTGTTCTAACAAATATTTGTGTTTGTACACAACCACGTCGTTTGTATGAATATACTGTATTAGAAATTTATAAAACTAGGTCTGTACTTTGTCACAATTCTTACTTTCAGAGAAATGTACATCCTTTTATTAAATTTTCTTAAGGTTTTCTTCGAGACATGATGATTCTAACAGCATCCGTTTACATCCTACTTTGTTTCTGTTGGTCATTTTGTACATACCGTAATTTAATTTTTTACGGTTTGCTTCAGGATGGGTAATTTTTTGCAGTTACATCCCTTTTATCTTCACATATTTCTTTTTATCTATAATCTAGATACAGTTATTTTTAACAGCTGTTTTCTACATTCACCTACCTCTTTCCTGATTGTTTCGTACAACTTGTGGTCTGACAATAACTGGCTGTAGAACCCTCCTTCTCCTTTGATTTCTTTTTCCTAACAAACTGTGGAGATTGACTATACCCTCTGCAATATTTAGAAGGATAATTATTCCATTTATTTCCAAATATTTTATTGCTTATTGAAACCATGCTCAATTATTAATTAGTAAATGGTAAGAGATACATGATCACCAACAGTTCAAGTGAGAAGCTTCAAGAATGGTGCTTAGCAAGCCAGCTGTATAGATTTCTTGAACAAGAGTTATTTCCCTGAATGAAACATACAATGGCGCAATATCAATGATACAGTATTTAATCTTAATTCATATTATTTTTAGAGACATAAATAGAAGTGTATTTCTTCAGAAAGTGAGAATTAACGTTGCATCTGTTGCAAAAAACAAGCACCAGTTTACATGAGTGAAATATTTTTTGTCAAGACCTGTAAAATTATAATCACTCTGATTGATTGATTGATTCATTGTATGTTGCTTTACGTCCATCTCGAGAATTTTTCACTCAAACAGAGACACCGCCACTTGTTGGTGGAGAGCTGCAAATTCTGTGCTAGATTCGGCACTTAAGGCCATTGAGCAGGATTTTTTCGTGCCAGCACCTACTGCGACACGGGACCTCGGTTGATACATTCTCATCCGACGGATCCCATGTCCGAATAATGATAACTAATGAAAGCGCCTTCTTGGTTAAAAATGCATTTGAAACAAACGCTGATGCACGGAAGCACAACGATTATATCAAAATAGTTAAGGGTTCTTGGTGACACCCGAGTCCAAAGCATGTCAAGTGTATGACATGATGGTTTTCCATGGGGAGGGACAAAATGGATGGGGTTTTGCAAATTTCAACCCCAATCTTTTGAAAGATGAACCTAGGTTTACATATAATGCGTATAACATTATACTTCCAGAGTATCATATACAGATATATTAGAGGTGAAAATAACCGATAACTATCATTCTCATCAATCCAGTTAAGGTGATACAAATCCTAAGCTGGACAAATACAAGGATCACTGAAAACATTAGAAAAGAAGTAAGCAACCAAGAAAATAAGGAGATAAAAAAGAAGTTTATTGATTGATTACAAAGAATTCAACATCATAAACGGCATCATGTCTTCAGCTGCATCCATGTCAGTCGCCATCATCCAGGGTAACATTTGATTCATACGTCGTTTCTGAACAAAGCGCGATCCTACAAGACGCAACACTAATTATACAAGGTTCCTATTAAACAGTTTTCACAAAGAACAAGCTTTGTCATTTACGACGGTACAATTTGAACTTAAAGTTAAAGGATTTGTTTATACATGGAAATTCATTGTTACTTTAGTAAATAAAAATAGGCTGTTATTGTTAGTGACTATGTTTATGTTGAATACATGATTGCACAATGTAATATGTAAGTATGTACAAAGTATATATTATAATACATTACAATGTATATTAAACATGTATTGAATTTTATACTCGGTATTATATTTCTGGGTAATACATGTAATAAAAAGCCATGCTTATATAATTTATATATTTACTGTGACAAAAGGTACTCACCTCCTCTTGGGTATATTCGATTAGATACAGAACGGAATGCTGTTATATAATAAAACAATACATATGACTGAGCGCGGTTTTCTCTCTTTTTCCGAATTCGAACAAATATAACATTTAAATCGTATTCGATATCAATGAACGCCTCAAGAGAAATACGAAGTACACACAGTAATATTCTCTTTTCAGAATTTGTTGTCTTACTTTGATGGAGCATTGAAATTAAATATATAGTTTTAGAATATGTACATAATTAACTTTACAGAGAATTTTTGCCTCTCTTAAAATGAAATGGATCGTACATTTTGATATTGATTAAATATAGTTTATGATAAAAAATAAAAATACAAAGTTAATGTGACTCATTATGTGAAATTTATATGCATGGCTAAATTTCCAATTCAGGTATCAATAAAAATATTTCATGACAAAATATTGTTTTAAAAATATATAAATTATTCCATTCATATTATTCAATCAACATAAAACTTGAGTAGAACCAATAATTAAATAATTTAAAATGCTATTGTTTCATACTATTTGATATTACAATAAAACATACGTACCAGAACCGCCTCGAGGAAACCCTCCATTCATGGAGGAGGATCTAGAGAGAGACGACCACAACATGTCTGAAGAGAAACAAGAAATACAGTTTTGAAAGAAAAAGTCTCAAAAATTTCAATTTTACGTAGAAAATGTTGGTTTTTTCATGAAAAAATATTTTCATGGTGTTGAAGTTTGAAAAAACAAACAAATAATAAACTTACTGGAAGGATCTTCAGTCATACTCCTGGAAAAACTTCTGCTTGATCTCGACCCCAGCATATTCCTCGGCCATCCCTCACCTAAAGGCGGGAAAAAGTGTTATAAAGAAACTTTAAGGTAACCAGTTCTCTTTAATTCACGATCATAGGATTGTGGATTTCTAATGTATATTAAAGATGCACATTTTGCATTTCAAAGAATGAAGAATAAAATTCTACATTAATATCTTGAAACAGATTTTTAATGGCACACTTTTTAAACAAGTTATGTCTTTTGTCTTTAATTTGTAAATGATTAAAAATTAAAAACTATCTGATAATATATAATTTGAATGTAAAATCTTTATATGAAAGGTTAATATAGTTTTTCTTCAATGTGCAATTTGAAAATTATATGATAGGTGAAAGTGTACATCTTTTATGCACAAGCAACTGAAATTTCATTCTCTATAAAATTGAATACACGTATCTATAATGTTTCATCTGTGTTTTCTTAGGGTATTTCATCATCTTGTTTATATTTCAAATCGTAATGCGTGTACATGTAGCATAATTTATCTAGTACAATGCATCATGTAGTAAATAATTGATATTCTTACCTAAGGTTTGGGCTCCTACGTGGGAATGTGACGTCACACATGTACAAACCATCAGCGAAATAACGATGACAACTAAAGACTGCATTTCTGAAAGTACAAATAACTTACAACATGTAATATTACGCTTCTTAATTTTAGTAAATAATATTTTAATATGAACTATCAATATTTTATTGCTAATAATGTCTAAACAACACAGTCGAATTTGAAAACATTGTTTCGTTGTTCTACATTATGGTCTGACTCCTGATTGTTTTCCCCTTCAACTGCTTCAACTCTGTTGCTTATGAATGATACATCTGCAAGACTAAGGATTATGTAAAACCCCATGTGATGAGTTACATTTATAAATTGTCATAAGATACATACATGTATCTAAATGAGACACTTCTCGAAAAACTAAGTTTCTTAATCTCCTAAAAGCAAAATTATATTCCTACAGACTTTCTATACTTCTTTGTTCAGACGGTATCTAAATTCTAACAACTAAGTCTACAGGGGGAAAATGGACTTTAAAATTATATCAAAGTTTTTTATGCTATCTTGGGGTAGGTAATCTAGAAAAATTTACTCTTGACGACCCTAAAATTGACATATCTAACTGCTGAGACTTTTATTTATACGATATTTTATTTCAGCCAGACACTTGCTCAAATTCGTCTTGTAATGTTATAAAGCCAGCCAAGCACTTTCTACTTTCTGTTACACCTCAATCAATTTAATATGATCAGATTTATGTACTTACTGTACATCTATGACATATAATCACTCCATAGTTTTAATTTGATTGTCCAAACAAAATAATCAAAGTCTTTATATGAAATTATGCATATGTATAAGCATTTGAATGTAAATCAAAATATGTGTTGATGATATATGAATCATTGTGTAATTTTACACTTTTGTGTAAGCCCAGGAATAGGAACACATGGCCTAAAAATATTAATACATTGAATGAATCATGAATCTTTGAAATCTAAATCTTTTAGTTAGTGTTTAGTCAGAATTATGTAATACTTATTTAATCCTAGCTCGGAGGAGATATAGCATTACATTCATCATTCGTTAATTACGATTTTGAAAAATTAAACTGTTGTTTTAATATATTTAGATATCCATAGCGCTTTTGTTGACGCCGAGGCATTGGCATAAAATGTTCATACAAATCAGTACAGGATCACAAAATGGTGTTTGTGCGTTTAAAATCCATCAGATGCAAAAAAAACCAAAGCAGTCTCCTTTTTTTCCTTTTTCGTAGAGATTGAAAAAAGTGACAATGTCTCTCAGTTTGATAATACTTCATGTTAAGGCCCTTTCCTCACTTGCAATGTGCAAAAAGCTTCAAAATAAAATTGTCCATTCATAAGATAGTAATCAGCAGCTTTGCACTTTTGTTATTTGATTCAGAACATCTGGTGTAAAGTGAAGTCATCTTTGATAATAACGTACCTACTGCTTTCCGTAGGTGTACTATATATTGACGTGAAAATAACTCTGATAAACATTTATAAACACATAAACATAGATCAGTACTTTTGGTATTCTGTTGTTTGATACTATAATTCAATTTGCAATACCTGATTTTAGGTGATTTCGTCTATGATTATAACATACCTTATACTTAGGTTTTCGTTGATGTATTGCATACAGATGTATTGACTTGTAAGTAAATCTTAAAAACTTTATTCCTCTTATAGGAAATAGTCCCCGAAATAGTTTTATTTTTTTACTTTTATGCTAAGACGGATATTATAAATTTTATCCTACCTGTCTGAAATGATTGGTGTTGCTGCAAAATCCTCTGTTTGAATGGGATGAGTAACAGGATGAATTCATATTAAGTAATCTAGACGACATTGCACCTCTCATTTGTAATGTGCACCTTCGAGGGATTGTAAGTCAGTAAAGTCCCTTTAATGTCTACTCAAAGTGCCAAAGTTATTACGCATTGAAGTCACCTTCGACTCGAACCAAAGAAAAAGTCACGTTCTTTTTTGTTTGAAAGTTTGCCTCTTCTTGTTTACTTTTATCTCGTGTATGGTCATCGACCACAATTTTGATATATGATGGTAAAATTGTACAGCCTTTTGGATAGCCTTGGGCTTCAAATCCTGGTAGGTTAAAGCTGTAACTGAGACTTAGATATGGTGAAAAATGAAAAACTTCTATTGGGGTATTTTTCTGAACTCTTCGAACATTGACCATAGTTTCCCATGGTGAAATTACCACTAGAAATCATTTCATGCACGTAATTTGTTATATATCTTCAAATAAGCTACCTTGACTGTTTTCATAGCAAAGAGGCAAAAACACGAGCATCTTTTATTTTCAATAAAGTTTCTTGGCCTTTTCATTTTCATACCTTTATAGATCTAGATTCAACTAACAAAAATTCGTAGTGTGGTCTTAGAAACTGCAATATCGTTTAAATTTTGTTGGTCAAACAGAGATTGATTTCGTTAGTTCAACGAGAGTTAACACAATATTAAATTTTTCATCAAACAGTGTATCTTTGCAAATACAAGGAGAAAAAAATGTTGTATAAATGTTGTGACAGAAAAGTTTAAAAAAAAAATTAATTTCTCTAAAAAGTCATATTACAAATAAGGCTGTGCTATTTTTTCTATTATAATTACTTTCTTATAGCAATCATTATTAGAGTTCAAGTGAATTATCCCTCTGCGCCAAATTTACCCTGTTTGTTAATTCCCAATACTGATTTTCGTCAACAACAATAGCAGTAGATTCACAAGGAAAATAGTTTTAAGTATAAAGTCTTGCTTATTTTTTTGAAAATGAATATTATGTACAATTATAATGTGAAGAAAAATCGATATGGTAAATAGAAAGATTAATATTTTTTATCTCACAATAAAATTAAAAGTATGAGGCGTATATGAAAGTAATATGGACTATGCTACCTACATATATCTTAATAACATTAGGAAAATGAATCTTTGCTTTTTAATAATAAACCAAAATATCACATTGTTTTCCCTGCTTGTAAAAAAAAAACATCCATCTTCAAGAGTTATCTTTCCATTGTCTTTCTTGAAAATATGTTTATTTAAAGTATATTAACTAATCGATTATAAAAATTCTGCATCTGAAATTTCTGACACGATTAAAAGACAGTTTAAAAGAACTGTGTATAAATGTTTTAGGTAATTTAAAACGATTTTAAGTAGTTATGGAAATAATTATAGCAAAAGAAAATAGAAATCAACTCTAAAGAATTGTACAACAGATCAGATTTAAATTAGTTGACAATAAAATAGCCCTCACTAGTTAAACTCTGACAAAAATTCATTGAATCGCCTGGAATAATTTTCTCGGAAGGTTTTCTCTCTTATTGGAGGGATATTACACCTATAGTGCCTTTTTCAGTTTTTTATCAAATATCCCTGCTAAAAAAATACTTGTAAGAGTTTTGTTTCAATTGAAAATGATAAATTGTAAAGAATATAAAACATTGTCGAATTCGTGGAAACAAATTCAATTCGCTATAACCTTGTAAGAAATTGTTCAAAAGAATTCAAACTGTTCTAACACTATTTTATAGTCATTAGAGTTACTTTAAAAACTAACCCGTCAAACGGATGTCCATTTATGTGGAAGTTCTATTTTTTTGTCCTGCCAAAGAGTTACTGATTTTGATTCAACATGTGATCGACTGAATATTTATGAAGTATGGCTTACCTCAGAATTTGTTCCTTTCTGCACAATTTTTATTATATTTCTATGTTTATCTTTTTTTTTCAACAGCGTTATCAGATACAAAATATTACCCTAAGGATCAGATATTGGCCTAGAAGTAGCTTTAAAGAGATTTTGCTTAACTTTTCTCAGTGCAAATTCAAAATAAAAGCTACTATTGACGGTTCTTGTATGTAGTGTAGGTACTGTAACATATATTGCAAGACCCCTTGAATAAATCGAAGACTCCTATAGGTCCCATTTGGAGTCCTACATGTAGCTTCATTTGTTTTTTTTTTCAATAATACGATTACAACTGATCTCTGATTCCAGATTGTATTATGAATCTTCCGTTTGGGTAATACAAATTGCATCCATATTCAGATATTCATCTCCAATTATACATTTTCTTAATATTTTTTTTTAATACATAACATTGGCAAATTGAATGTTTTTTTTATCTTATACCTCAGCAGTCTCGTTTAAAGTTATCATTTCGAAAGTTCTATGGTCGATACAATGACCTTGTCTGCAAATACAATTTATCAATATATAACATTGATCCCACCTCTGATGTTTTTGGAGGTCCGTGTTTGCTCTGTTCCTACTTTGTATTGTTTTATGGACTTTGATATTGAATACTGTTCGTTATCTCCATATCTCTCTGTAAGATTGGATAAACGGTAAAATAGCAGTGATAGATCTCATAAAATCTTCCTGAAATCTTCAAACAATACAAAAACGAATAAAGGCATGAACACGGACCCCTGAAATGCAAGAGGTGGGATCAGGTGCCTAGTGGGAGTGAACATCCCCTATTGACTGGTCACATCCGCTGTAAGATATAGTTCTAATCAAGTAGACTTAATCTTAAAACAATAAATATAACAGGAAAAGTAATTAACGAAAAATTATCAAAATCCCTAGAATAGAAATAATGAGACTCGGCCTCGTTAAGTCAGCCAAAATACAAGTCACTGATAGTATATATTTGCTAATAAGTTCATTATAACGAGATGCAAATAAAAAATGATGTCCATCTGCTTTAAATATTTTTCTAAAATTTATCTTCTTTGTGAGATAGCTAAATAAACTGTTGTTATGATGGCATATTTAGTGACTTAGCAATGTTTTTCACTAAAATTTTGGCTTTTAAAAAAAATATTATGATGCTCACCTCATTGACATTTTGATGTCCCTTCAGATTTCAATCTACCAATTTGACAATTAACAGTTTTTAATAATTCTAAATTTCTTAATCTATCTAGGAATTGCATGGGATGAAAAATGTCTTTCAACTTCGCAAAATTATGTCTTTCATATGGTATCCCAATGTATTTTGTAAAGAAGCTTAGATTTTGTCCTTATTTTCTTTTTCACAAAGGCACTTTTTATACAAGATATCTATCTTTAAAAATATTTATAGTTATTCATAATAAATATAATAGAAATGTAACAAGAAACACTTCTTTTGCTATAAATCTTAAAGTAATTTTGAGATTGATGGCTTTGATATCTCCGAAACTTTATGCTAATTTAGAACATACAGAAGAATCATATGAATTTACAAGTACCTAAAATATTTATCTCCTTCAACTATCACAAACCTCATATAAAATCAGAGAAATGAACTACGAGTTTACAAATTCAAAACAATAAGTTGAAATAATTTTATTTACAGTTTACTAAACAAATTTGCTATAGGTTCCAAAATAATGATGATGTATAATTTTGCAGCTTTTCCCATCAGAATACTAATTAGAAATCTTAATGTTTTTAGAAATACAGCAAATATGACATGGTAAAAGGAACAGAATATTATTCAAGGAAAACATCTAATCATACATTTCAATATTTTCATCGTCAACCTCCATAATTCAGGCAGTAGTATTCAAATATCAACTGCAGATTTTGTTTATGACTCCTAACTTATTCGATAAGATAGTAAATCATCTCAATATGATTGATTTAAAAAAGGCCAATAAGTTGATATTAAAAGTATTTCAACCATTCGAATAAAATGAGCTTAGTTTTTATTCTATGGTCATTATACTGACCTTATATGTAAATTATTTTTTATCATTGGGATATTATCTGTCGGACATGTTTCATAATGCACAACATAATGACAATATGTGCTGAATAAAGATTTCTTTTCTAAAGAGACATAATTTTATGTTTATATAATTGCTTATATTGTAGTAAAGCTGCATATCAAATATATTTCAGCAAAGCAACTCATTATTATGATAATATGACCTAACATTAAACGTTGATATGCTGGAAGTAAATAGGGGTCACCCATGTATTACAATTATAATGTACCCCATGAGAAACATTTAGCTCGATCTCTGAGTAAAAAACAATGTCTAATTGTATTAAGTAGTTTTGTTGTCCTTCAATTTGGAAGACATTTCTGATAAAAAAAGAAAGATCTCTCTTGAAGACAGAGTATGATACAAGAAACATCACAGAAACTAGAGAATATTTGTATTTTTATAATTACTAATACGATAGAAAGCTAATTATTAACAGTGCTGCACCCTCAATATTTAGGCCAGAAAATTAGGATGACCTTTCTTAATTTTTCTTTTTCTGTTTGCTTGTTAATGATTTCTTTATTTTGCAGCTCATTCCTTTCACTGAAGCTGAATTTTTTCTACGAATAGCCGAATGGTCTAGCTATTCCAAGCTTGCTTTTTTATAAAGGAGAATATCCTATTACTGATAGACCGTCCAACGATCACAGATCCGTCCAGCAAAATGATGTCCTCGCAAAATCCGTCATTAATATACATAATGTATGTACTGAAAGGTAAAAGAAAAGCAGGATAAACTTTTGGAGTGAAATAACTTAAATTTTTCATTTGCATTTTTCATTATTCCTAAGGTATAAAATCATCTTTAATGAAAATGTAATGAAATTCCATTTGATTTTGCCTCATAATTCACGAGTTATTGAAATTCATATGAAGGTGAAAATCGAAAAAAAACCTCACTATCGGCATTATCCTTGCGCATTTTCACAGCCTTGATTCTCCTTAGCATGGATTTATGAGAGTGTTTATCCTTCAAAATGGTATATTATTCAACCCTTTCAACAAAGAAGCACTTAGTTTATAGTGACAAGATTGGGCATTTTGAACTTATCATCCACTAAGTCCCTAAGATGATCAATAAAAAATAAGATTGAGTTTACGGAGACTAGTCGAGTGGGTTAATGTGATTGTTTATGAAAAGTCTTGACTCACTCTGGATACAATGGGCCAGGGAACACGCCGAAAAAATACGCAAATGACGTGCATGCACGTGCGCATGCCCCAGTACGAGGAAAACCAACGTAAAGTTGACCAGCTCAAAAACCCAAATCGAGCAATCCGTTTCTTTCAGTTTAAGGGTGAAGGTAATGATTATGATACATGTAGCCTACTGAATAAATACCCCAGTTTTGGGGGTGTTAAGGGTGAAATTAAACAGTTGGAAGGATGAATAAAACGGTCTTAACGTGGCTCTGTTACACGTCAACGTCTTCAGCACGGTCGGAAACTATTCCAGACCCTCTCTGACGACGGCTAAGATGTTCTATGGAGCCAAAAAAATACAAAAAACTGCTCAGTTGCCCCTTGCTGGCTTTGTTCTTACTTAATCATTGTAAAAACCAGACCCCATAGAATTTCCACCAACCGTATCAAGAAATTGTTATCGTTTGTAAATATTGTAAATATTGAAAACCAAGGTGTATAAGTTCATTGAAATGTACAATAAGATGTGTTGACAAACTTGTCGTCATCAGTTTGCACGTGTTTTTGTCTTTTATGCACTTTCCGTACCTGACGTCATATATTTTACGGTTGAGTAGTTCTGAACACCAATTTTAGTGCAGAGTAACAAATTTTCTCATTTGACCAATTTTCGTAATTTCTGTCATGCGGTCAGAAAAATTTCACAAATTATATTACCCTGCCTTTCTTTCCAAATATATGTAAAGAACATCATAAAAAGAATCAAGAATTGAACATATTTTAATGGATATGAACATAGACATTAAATGTTATATAAATAATCGAGAAAAGAAAATGAATATGATATCGTCTTTGTGTCTTTCTGAACTTAGAACTGCATTTAAGTGTAAACACCATCCACTCTTAGAATGTTCTGCACGTTGTCAACACATAAGGCCACTTTTACAAAATTGTTTGTTTGCAGGTGCACTTCTTAAAATCTAATTTTAAGGTAGCGTTTCTCATTTTCAAGAGAAAATAATTAAAGAAAACTAATTATAAAATAAATATTGCCAAATTTAGATAATAAGTGTCTTCAGTTGTAAGCATGTCGGTAAAAGTTAGGAAAACTTTTTATTCGTGAACTGCAAACAAATAATTTTACGTAAAGCAGAAACTCCAGTCAAAATCTAGTTAAACCCTCCCATCAAGAAAGGCAACATCATGGCGTCAGGAATGTCCACCATTTGGTCCATAAAGTACCAGTTCATTGGGTTCCGGAATACGCCATTTCTTCTGCTGGTTCTTCCGAACGTTTGACTTCCGGTTGTTCCAGGGGTAATTGATGTGCTCAGTCCTGGAAGAAAAGGTATTAAATTGGAAGAAATCTTATTAAATATAAGTTGGTTATTTGTATGTAGGTATAACATAATATCTGACATAGATAATATCTTGTTTAACACGAAGTTTGCTAACTCCTCCATGATGCCTTATCCCACCTTAATGTTTTGGAGGTCTTTATTTGCTCTATTCCAATTTTATATTGTTTAATGACAAATAGCATACGGCAGATTTGACCGGACAGCAGGAGAAGCTCACTCCTCCATTGGACCTGATCCCATCTCTGATGTTTCGGAAATCCTTTTTGCTCCATTCAAAACTTTGTATTGTTTTATGGACTTTTGAGATTGAATACTGTCCGTTATCTCCATATAATGCACTAAGCACTTGAATTAATCAAGAATGTGCTCATGTTTTCATCTTTTGATAACCCCCTCTCCTGCATCAAATTCCTTTTAATAAACAACAACGAATGAGTTTAGGTTCTCAGAAGATAAGATAAGGTACCAGAATAACATAAACGAAATAAAAATAATACAGCATTTTGGAATAAATTGTATGGTCAGATCACAATTTTCTAAGTTCATTACTTTATTTTAGTTTTTAAAACAAACAGGGAGCACTTTCCGAAAAAAAGCAATTATTTTATTATATTTATTGATAAGATATTACAAATGCGTTTAATTTTACAGTAGTGCACTTATACAATAATAATAATTTACTTTAGTGGACTAAAGTAATCCGTAGTAATTATATGTTAAGTTTGTTTATCTTTGGAATACAGGACATGATAAATTATTATTTTTAGACAAGTTCTTTAAAGCTTGTTCTATTTAGTCTTATCCCTACATATCAAATTAATTATCCTTGAAGTCTTTGTGACATGCCATAATTGTTTCCATTTTAAAAGTTAATTAATGTAGACATTTATTCATTTCTTACCTTTTGAAGCTATCGTGTTTTCAGCAGTTCCTTAATGAAAGAGAAGAGATTAATTAATTATGAAATTTGTCATTTTTTAAAAAAATGTAGCGGTAGAAAAAGTAAACATGCGCAAAGAATTTGTGTTATAAGATAAATAAGACAAAATAAGTCATGAAACAGTAATTAAAATATTCAAGTACATTATCACTAAATTAATCATAATCAGAAAACATGTTATAATATTGCTGCAATTAATCAAATGTCCAAAATAAACACAACATAATTTGCAAGAAATAAATATTACACATTTCATATGTCAAAACTTTCAAGAAGATTTTAAACGCCCTTTTCGAGTGTGTCGTTTTAAAAAGAAAGAAGACAGTTGTCGAGTGGTGAAAATATATTGTTATGCTAATTTTTTTGGTGATTTCCTAGAACGAACTTTTAAATTATTTATGTTTTTTCCAAACTTGTTTCCCGAGTCTCTTCTTTATTTCAGTGGCTTCAGGGCAGATAAAAAAAAGGGGGGAGAGATATAAACATGGACAATGTCCGAAGTATAAATCCTACGTTCTAATTAATATATATAGTGGATGATTAATTATTCTCCTGATGTGTCCTGGTGCAATCATTAATAATATCCCACACTACTTTTATTCCGCTTCTTATATATCATTACATTTAAATTAAACCTGGTTTAGTCCCTCCCTACTGTTTCCCTACAGATTTCAAAACGTGGTTTGCATTTATTGCTTACAAACATTTCAGTTTTACCTTTAAAGGAGATTCTAAAAAGAAAACAAAATCATATTTCTTACCTGGTTGTTGATTGGCTTGATCAAGTAGTCTTTTCATTGCTAAAAAATAAAATCATTAATTATTACGATGGTCATCACTGTGATTTATTGTCATGTATATTGAAAGGTACGCCTCTATAAACCGTAATTTTGTTTTAGAATTGTATTGTGGAAATCATTCTTTTTTAATATCAAGTATAAAATCCAATAAATTGTAATAATCATTAATCAAATAAAAGACAAAATATATTTTATTAATACAAAGGCAAAAATAGAATTTTGTAATATTTCATAAAAATGAAAATCACTGGAATCTATTTGACTACAATGTAGTTAAATCTATCGTATTTTTATCTTCAGCTAACACGAAAAACAATTTACTTTAGGCAAAGACGTTCTTGTTGAAACAAGTATAAACAGGATAGATGCAGTTCTTTTTTTTTAGAACCAACAGACTTGATAGCCTTAACCACTGCTCATGGTGGTTAATCAGGCACGTAGAATTTAAAAGGGGGAACAGGGCTGCTACATGTACCCCCTTTTCCCAAACTTAATATTTTCCTGGTTGGTTGCAACACCCCCTCCCCCAATGAAAAAATATTACCTCTAAATCAGAGTATTCTAATGAAAAGATAGAAAAATTTGGCTGTGAAAATAGCGAAAAAGGATTTTTCAATTTTGAGATTTTTTTTTAGTTTCTCAAACCATTTTGTACACTAGGTAACGACAATATTTCTGTTCCTCCAATATCGATGCTACGTACATCATTATCATTATACATTGTATATATTCTTTTAAAATTAACATATAGATCCTTTAAAGCGCTTCAAAATGAGATTTACCTAGAAAACTAAATAAGTTGTCCTGTGCTGCTGCCAGTCCTAAACAACATAACGTCACAAGCAGGAAGGAGTTCATGATGCTTCTGGTACTTTTTTTGCTTCAAATTTCCAAATTCTGAAATGAAATTGTGCTCTTAAATGATAAACATCTTTTTAATACCTGGAACATATATATATTTGGTACATTGAATACATTTGAATATTAGATTTATACACACACCAAATACTAAATAATCCGTAAATATCCTTACATTCATTCCTAAAATTTCCTATCAAAATCTAATGTTTACCCTATTTCTAACTGTTGATTACAAATTGTGTCATTTTATCATTTAGCTTTTTTTAAAATACAGTTCTGGGGTAATTTTTTATTTTCCAAAAGCAGTAAATTTAAAATTACAGCAAAAACGTTCAGAAAAATCTAGCATAGTAAGCAGGGATTTCGAAATGATTCATTCCAGAAAATAGTCGAAGCATCAAGAATAAAATTATTCCAAAAATGATATATTACTGCTATACAATTGAAATGTAAAAACTGGAATCTTCGTTTGCTATCATTTTCATCAGTGAACAGAAATATATCTATTGCAGGTTGATGAATCTAACATGTTTATATCGAACACGTGGTTGGTATTTATAGGGTGTAAGAAGTAACGCGTAGTAATACTTGTTAAACAGGTTAAACAGGTTATGTAGAGCATGACTGGCATGCTGTGCTCTGTGATTTTATAGTCATTCGAGCTCAAGACTTTGCGCTTTTCACACGCTTTACGCCCGCCCACCCTGCCTCCTTTTTTACATAATTATTATTTAGTTAAGCGGGTATTAGTATGTTTATACTATTATAACAATGAATATGTTTAATAATTGAAATGTCTTTATGTTGTACATCTACGTAATCGAGTTATATTCAGGAAAGCGAGGCAGATATTCGCGTGTTCTATGTAATTTATATGTTAATAAATGCGCAAGTCTTGGAGCATTTACCCATAATCAGTGTTGTTATGATTTTGAATAAGGCTGGTAAATATTCGTTCGTTTGAGATTGTTCGAATAAGAATATAATCATGATAGCACAATTGTGAAGAAAATGTAGCATTGACAATTTAAAGAAGCTTATAGAAGTATAAAATTTGAATTCTTATTTGAAGAAAACATTTTGATAAAGCATTACTGAATAATAATAGGTTTGCTTTAAAATTAAAAAATCGTTAGACAAATGGAAGATTAATTCAGAAGTCAATTTAGCAAAAAAAGAAATTTCGGCAGTTTAACACTTTTGTTTAACGTCAATGCTTTTGTAAATATATTATAGAAAAAACAGACGGTAGTCAATGACAATCGATCAATACAAATAGTAAGCCAAGACGTCCAGGTGACATTGAGAAGCAAGTATCCCTGTAAACCCGTCACAAACACATTTTTTAATGAATCTGTATGAAATTCTTTCTTACACTTTATACATGTATGTGCGTATTATTCTCTTTAACAAATCTATAAAAACAGTGTCATTTCATTATATTACATTTATATAAATATATATATGCATATTCCTACTTGGCACCTAATCCCACCACTGGAGTATCAAGTGTGCATTTATGTACTTCTCACAGAGTTTTTTGTTTGTTTGTAGATTCTTAGAGATCAATCACTGTTCGCTTTCGTAAGTTTTAATTTATTTTTAATCATTCACAAAAATGCTCTTGATACATTATGTCACATATATTACTTTTTCATAAAAAATAAGAATAAGCAACAAAGTTTTTGGGAGTAAAGTATAATAGAAGATGAATATTAGGCATAGTTAATTAATGACATAAATAATGATAAAATTCGGCGAGATTAAAAAATTCATATGAAATTTTTTTCCCTGTTTTGTGAAAAAAGAATACCGACGACAAGCAGGTTTATGTGATTTTGGAAATATAGTCGAATTATATCTAAGTCTAGCTTTGAAAATATTAATGCAAAATAAAATATCAAGCAGAAATTTTAAATTAGAATAACACATCCATTTCAATGAGTGCGACGTAGTTTTGAAAATTTAAAGATAGGGGATATTCAAATTAAAAACTAAAAAAAATGAAGAGAACTCTGTAACGAAAGTTACGATGATGAGACATGATGTAATTTTTAAAACAAGTAGAAATATAATGAGATACATCACCTTTCTTAGATGCCTTGATTATCAACTAAACGTGTTGTTAATTAAATAACCTTTTTATACTGTGACGGGGGGCTACCGAATCTTGTGTATCTTAGAGAGCATGCCAAAAAAGGCGGAGGATTTATCTAAACTAAGGGAATGCTTTTTTTTTTAAAGTTAACAGATGTTTTCTGTACGGGACACTAGGTCATTGGTGATTCACGGTCCAATCTGATTAATGATCGAGCGAGGATGTGCCCTGGTTATCACCTGGCAAAACTTCAGCAGCCGTAGGACATGATGTGTAGTAACCCACAAAAAATAATTTTTCATTTTTAATGTGTAAAGCTTTCACTTTAACGTCTTTGAAGTCTCAACTACTGATTATTTATCTACATTTTATTCACTGTTAGTGTCAAGGTTCAGGCATGGATATATAGAGGGGTTGGATTTTCTTTTCATAAAACATTATAATTCTTAACCGAGATATGTACAATTCTTTTTATGGTATTGTAAAGGTAAAACATAAATCTGAATGAAACACATCGTAGTTAACCTTAGCAAACGGTACACCTTGGCCTTTTAAATAATATAAGCTTTTTTCTCTTATAAAAAGCCTCATAAAATAACAAATTTTATAATACAGAACTGCAAAACATATGATATACGGTGGTTGATATACGATTTTTCCTGCAATTTTAACAATAAATGCTTTGACGCAAGAACAATCTCTCCTTTTAGTTTAAATATGGTTTATGGAAACATAAGGAGATAACGAACAATATTCAAAATCAAGACTCCTTAAAACAGTACAAAAATAGGAGTAAAGCAAACAAGAACCTCCAAGACATTAGAGGTGAGATCAGGTGCCATGGAGGAGTGAGCATCCCCTGCTGACCGGTCACACTCGCCTTGTGCTCCTTGTCATGATTGGAAAAAACGGAAAAAAAATCCGTCGTTGATTCATTGTATAAATAGTGGACTAACAATCAGCATGAAAAACGTCAGTCAGCATTAGATTCAATAATAAATTAGTAATTTTATTTTGCATTTTATAAAACAATTTAGAGAACTGATGATATTATGTTAACAAAATGTATAAGAAAAAAATTTAATTTTCTATATATCCTCAACTATATATGTTGATATTGCAAACAAATGATAGTTGCTGCATTAAATTTTTATCCTATCACATGCATAATCTTGTTTTCTTTTATATACACGTAATACTAAAACATTGCATCTAGTTATTGTGATGAAAGTGTAAGACGTATGTTCTCCATCCCTGATACACGTCACACACACTGAGTAACCGAACGTTAAACTTTAACAATTACTCAAAACCCATAGTTTGCTGAAATAAATGTAATTTATTCGAGCATTGCACGTATAGACTACAATGATTAACTAACTTGTTTACTTGGGATTCATTCGTTTTCAGTCTTTCATCCTCCACTTCTTAGCAGAGTGCACCATCTTACGTTTTTGTGTACGTGTGAAAGAGAAAGTACGTTTTCCATACCTTATACATATACTCAGTAAGAAACAAACGTGTTAATACCAATGAATATTATCGTCTTAATCTGTTAATCACATATTCAAATGACGAAAAATATTCCGGCCAATTATCTTATTAAGGCCCAATTATATGTACATGTAGTGTTTAAAGAAATAATTCTTTGCTTAGATACAAAAACTTCAGCGTTAAGTTATTGTGACCTTTAGAACGTGTATTGAGTTAAAGATATAACAAAACATTCTAAAATCATAAATTTGTACTTTCTATTGTCGTTATCATGACCTTGGAAACAAAATTAATCTATCATTATGTCTTTTCTTGACCCAAACTGGCAGAGATCTGTTTCAATACTAAAAACGACAGAGTTTTACGTTAACGTGACTGGTTAACAGGGGATGCTTACTCCTTCTAAGCACCTGATCTCACCTCTGGTTTTTCCCGAGATCCGTGTTTTATTCACAATTTACAGATTTGTAATTTTTATAGATGTTTTTGAGATAGATCACTGTGCATTATCGTAACCCTTTTTTCAATAATCACCGAGCATGATTCCCTGATATACTGTAACGAAAAAAGAAACCCAACATCCTATTTTGGGGGGAAATAATATATAAAGGATATAATTTTGTATCAAAAAAAGTATGGTTATTTTCAACTTAATGTAAATGTTGGTAATTTAACGGTTGAATGATTTTCAAACCATTCTCGGAAGTTAAGTTTTACTTAACAGAAAACAAAAATTGCATGTTCAAACCGTATAGACTGAGACTGAATGTCACAGTCAGTGCTGTTAGTCCATCCTCTTCTATAATGATAGAGGTACCCTTTTTAGCCTTGAGTCTACTCTGTTCTGTTTTTGCCAAAAAGATAACATAACACAGAGTTTGTAGAAAAAGAACATTTATAATCAAAGATGTCTACCGTTATGCCCCCCCCTTTGTTTGTGTAATGTCCCCTTTTCAGTAAGGAGCGATATAAATATTTGAAGATAGATTTGTCGACAAAGAACATTTATTATCAAAGATGTCGACAAAGAACATTTATAATCAAAGATGTCTAAAAAGTTTCCAATCTTAAAAATATACATATGATACTCGTAAAATATCAAAATCACTAAATAGGACAATAAATCTCATGTAAAACACTATCTCATTATATGAACACAAAGATAAATGTGCCTAAGATTTACATAGAATAAATAGAAAGAAAAAAAAATGTACAATATGTTTTGCCCATTGGACTAGTTGTGACTAAAAAGAAAAAAAAATCACTCACTAATGAACGGCCTTATTTGCAAAGCATAGGTTAAGACTTGCAGCAATGACAGCAATTGATGTCGTACGTCGCAATATTATTTAGTTAAAGTACTTAGGTTCCATTTAATTAGAAGTACGTTTGTAACTAAAATGACACACTATATAAGCCTAAACTAATTTGTACATACAATA